TTGACCTCTGGTATTGTGTCATATGGCTGACTCAAAGTCAGCTGACTATCCTGGTCATCAACAAAATCACATTCACAAAACTTAATGGCCTAATTATACTGGCTGAAGCAAAACAATTCTGGTGCATTCATGTATCACCATATGAATGATCATTCTGATCCACCAAACAACGAACTGAAAAGACTTGTCTTCGATATGCGAAACTAATGGTTTAGATTCATAAGTCATTCGAACTTGACATTCTTGGCCTAGTAAATCACTGTGAATTTGTGAAGGAACTTATAAACTACCTTGCCTTCTAGTATTCCCAAGGGCACGGCAATTGTTCCAGCAATTATTCTGTCGGCAGGTCATTCCATTGAGGCAAGCAACACGATAAATTCTTATAGCCTATGTTATGGAATCCAATAAGGTGTACGGGAGTTAAATACTCTAATTCCCCTCAGCAAAGATGTGCAAAAATGCAAAAGCAAGGGGAGCAAATAGCTATTATGAGCTTCATTCTTAACAGCGGTTGAATCTAGAATATGACAACTTCCAATCTCAACTTTTGTCCGAGTGTCATTCCTTCTCCCTGAGAAATCTTAGATTATTTTCTTTAGATGGCGGCTCTACAAGAACCTCAGCCCGCCCTCAGCTTCGAGTGCTCTCGTTGGTCATGGTGGCTTTTGTGGTAGCCCTCGAGGGGGGTTTCGTGGTGAAACTTGTGAACTCACTCGTGGTGGTACTAGAGGCGGCTGTGGAGGATATGCAAATGTTCGAAATTTCCATTCTGAAAATTTGGAATTTTATTTATTGAAAATGATAAACGGGCTAGGTAGACCTCATCCCAAAAAACTAGCTCAAAGGGAGTTAGCCACACTTATAAACAATTGCAGCCGAATAATTAATTGATGTGGGACAAAAGTAACTTCTAACACTTCCCCTCACTCTCGCAGCGTGCCAAGCTAAATGGGTTGGGGATCCAAACCAAACATCACCTCCAAACAAACAAAACCTGGGTTCTCTAATACCATGATAAATGGCCTGGCTAGAACTCATCCCCAAATCGAGCTCAAAGGGCCACACTTATACACAATTACAGTCCAATTACTAATTGATGTGAAACAAAAATAACTTCTAATAGTCATGCCCATGGGTCACACTAACTATACTTGTCTGAACCTGGTTGCAAAGAATCAAATAAATCGTTTGGCTCATGTTGCTTCATCTTCATTTACCATCTCGGCTGAGGAATATGCCTATCTTAATGAATCTGCTTCAGCTGAGGAATATGCCCATCTTATTGAATCTGTCTTGTTGACAATGGTAAGTCCGCAACTTGTGTCTAATATCACAAACTGGATAATTGATTCTGATGCTTCCGATCACATGACTAACACCTCTTCTCCACTTCTAACATTCACTCACTCGCTTTCCACTCATGTCAGTGTAGCTAATAGGTCTATTTAATGTGTCCATGGTCCATATTACGTTACGTTTCATATTGAGTCTTCCAAATTTCTCTTACTTCCTATCAGTTAGCAAACTTACAAATCTTGAATTGTAGCAACTACTTTTCTCTGGATCATTGCATTTTTTAGAATTTTTCGACAAAGAAGTCCTCGGTAGAGGGTGTGAATGGACTCCATTTACTTGAAACTCTAGGACCACGATCTCTTGTTTGCTCTACCTCATCATTGTTTGAGATGCATTATCAGTTCGGTCATCCCTTCCAAGTTTTAGGAAGATGTGTCCCCAGTTTTATTCCCTTGTCTTCTTACATTGTGATTCGTGTGAGTTTGCAAAACATTCACATATTCATTTAAGCCCATGATTAACAAACGAGTTGCGTACCTTCTAAGATATTCTGTTACTTCCATTGATAATTATTATTTTGTGTTACTTAGTTTATCTCATAAAAATTTTCAACATTTCTCTTAACACTTTTGGCCATACCCTGCAAAATGATAATGCTAAACAATATTTTTCATCATTTACTCTATCTTGTATGTTTCAACATGGTATTTGCACGAGTCTTCTCGTGCTGACACGTGGCCCAACATAAGGCAGCCAAACGTAAGAATAAAAAAATTCTTGAAGTTGCATGAGCTCTAATGTTTGAAATTCACGTTCCTAAACATTTTTGGGATGGATTTATCTCTATTGTCTGCTTTTATCAATCGCACGCCTTTTGTGATTCTACAATGAGAAACTCCTTTTTCCATCCTTTTCTCTCAAAAACTTTTCATCCCTACTTTGGCAGCACATGTTTTGTCCGCATGTTTTTTTCGGGACACCCGATCCCATTTTGACTAACTAGAAGACGTATTCACGAAGGGTGTAAATGGAATACAACTTGGTAACATTTGTAATTAGCTAAGTATATCCAATGAATATGTACCAGGGGAAGTATTAGAATATATTGTTTTTTATATAGAATAGGTGTTAGGAAAGGTTAATTATGCTCCATAATTATGGGATTCGAATACCATAATTAGTGTAACACCCCGGACAAATATTATATTAATAGCTCGACTTATTTATCGGTATTAGTATTATTTTAATTATGCGGAGAATTATTAATATTAATTGCATAATTTATTTATTACTAAGCCCAAGTAGTTATTAAAATCGAGCCCAAGTTGTTAAAATCGAGCTCAATTGATTAGGCCCGATTTTGAGCCTAATTCCTACAAAAACCTAAGCTACCCACCCCCCTATAAATATTGGTCTCCTCGTCCCCCAACATCACAACAAAAAGAGCAAAACCCTAGCCACCATTTACATCTTCTTCAACCTCTCAAGCTCTCATCTTCTCCCAAATTTCCGAGCAGCTCCCGGCCGTTCCTCAGCTCATTTTCCGACCAGCGACCCACAGCCACGAGCTCACCTCCGGCGAGCTCGTCACCACCATCCAAGCTCCTCCCCCCAGCAGCTCAGCCGCGACCCGCTCATCCTCACCTCGGGCCCGCGACCCGTTCCGCAGCTCGAGTTTCATCTCCTGTCGCATCACCGTTCCTTCCCAGCTCAGCTCCGCCGCGACGCCTCCGACGCCGTCCAAGCTTCACGCCACCTCGCAGCAAGCCAGCGACCCCCGATTTCCGGCGAGGACCAGCGTCGTCTTCCCCAGCTCGCGCTCCCGGCGAAGCTCGACCCACGACCACGAGCCCAGCGCCCCGATTTCCGACCAGACCAAGCCAGCTCCACCCGCACCTGCGACGAGCTCGGCCCCAGCAACCCGTCGCGACCTTCCACCGGCGAGCAGATCCGCAGCTCCACCTCGCGCGTGCCCAGTTTTCCGGCGAGCCCGCAGCGCCGAGTTCCGCCACTTCAGCCCGAGCTCGTGGCCGCTGTTTTCCCGTCGAGCCCGCAGCTCCGACGTCCGAGCATCTTGGCCAGCAACCCGCCGGAAAATCACCACCCCGTCCAGATCTGCTGCAACCCATTTTTGGGTTCCTTTGACCCGGTCAACAGCCCAAATCCGGTCCAAACAGCTCCTAGTTGGACCGGTCCGACCCGACCGGCTTCTTGCTCCGTTTTTCTTCCATTTTCTAGTCCGATCCGCTCTTTTCCGATCTCGTGAGGTATAATATCTAAAGACTTGAATGATATTGAATAAATGGATGATAAAAACGAGATAAAAATTAATTGAGATGTTGATTTGAGTTGGATCGGTACACACGAGCTTAAAGCGGATAAATTGATATTTTCGATAAACGCGTTAAAATGTCGAAAAAATATGATAAAATTCGTATAGCTGACTTGAGGCCTAGGTTTTAATTTCGTAATTTTTGGTGCTCGATTAGTATATTAACTGGATTTATGAATATGTAGCTGAAATGCCCGATTTTTGATAAATATGATAAGACCTCGGAATTCGATGAAACTTTCACGAAAAATCCTATAAATGCTGAATATGTCGTGGTTAAAATTTCATAATTTTTAGAGGTCGTTTGGTATGTCTACAAATTCGAGACTTTAGCTGCTTTGGTGAAAACCTAGAATTTATCCGGTTGAGATTTAGCTGAAATTACTGGGAATCGAGTTGAACTTAAAGTTTGAGTTTTTGACTTGAACCGAGATAAATAGCCGGTTGAGAAGAGAACCCTAGTTTGGCCTTTTCGGTCAGTCCGGATGAACTCTAGATCCGGATAGAAAGTTGTGCGTCGACTGATGTCGTGTCCGTGCGTATGCACCCGGACCACGATTAAGCCGAGTCGCACCCAGTCAGATAAATGAGATCAGATCAGTCAGATAAGTAAGATCAGATAAATCAGATAAGCAGTCCAGACTTAGAAATATTTCAGAGAACTCTAGAATGCCTCAAAGTCAACGAATCTTTTCAGAATAGCTCAAAGCATCTAAATCCAGATTAAATGATATTTTAATCAAGCGAGAGAACCGAGTAAGATTTATTAATAATAAGAATCAAGTTTTTATTTGAGCTTAGTACTTAGTACATTTTGCTCGGATATTTATGTAGCTTAAGGAGAGTCGAGCCTCCGACAGCTACCAGTGAGTCAGCACTTGCCTAGCAGTAGCAGTTATCAGGTGGGGGTCACGTACTGGTTATACTTCATCTTTAATTTCCGTACCATGTCCGAGGTATGTATGAGAAACAGTTAGTTCATCATGAGGGAGGCCGTGGCGGGCCTTAATGATCCCCCGTGATTCTGAGGGAGGCCTTAATTGGCCTTAATGATCCCCCGGAGTGTGCACATGATTGGCTTTTAAGCCCCAGGGTCTTTATGACCACCAGATGCCCCAGTTACAGTTTCAGTTCAGATCAGTTCTTATATACTTAAAGTCATGATATTGTTATTAACGATGTTGCATAATTAAGTACTGGTCTTTGCGGAGCATAGCGGTTTTGCTCATGCCCCCACTACGTTTTTCAGGTGACGGAGCGGCGCGTGGCGCGTGAGATTTCAGTGGTGGTCATGGTCATTAGCAGTCTTTTTGTAACGCATCTGCATGTCATTTATTGAACATGTACTATTATTACTATGCGTAGACATATTATGATTCACCTTCCGCACATTTCAGACTTAGTATGTATTATGAGATTATCAGACTTATGCATGTATAATGCCTTTATCTCTGTGGTACCTTTATATAACGGATTTGATTAGGTTGCATGTATTTATTTACGTCTGCATGAGAAAGAGTTTAAGTTAGTAGCATCCCGCAAATTAGTATGAGTATTTTCGAAAATAAAGTTTAAGAGTTTTTCGAAAATAAAAAGCAAAAATTTTACTCTGATTTTATAAATTCTAGAAATAATTAGGCGGGGTGTTACAATTAGTCTCTTTTGTATTAAATAGGACCTTTAGTATCATTATTTTCTCAATGAAATATATTGGTCCCTTCAGACATAATTAATAATATTAAACACATAAAACATATTAAGAATAAGTCTTGGAGGTAAGAGAGCTTGTACACAGTAATAGGTTGAGGACAAATGTGCATCTTCTATCAAATGCACATTATCTCCCAAAATGATAGTAGAACTAACTAACAAGTCCGTACAAATTACCTTGTGCACGTATATCGAAAGAGCAAGCTCATGTTGGTTCATCTTTCCCAATAGAATTGCTCGTTCTTCATATAAAGCATTTGCTGGAAGACGCTTCAACAAAACCTCAGGATTGTATCCAGAGATGCTCTCCAAAGCAGACAAGAGTTTCTTCCTTGTGGGAGAATAAGTTTTCTCATCCCATTTTTGCTGAGAATATAGATCCTTGTGCCAATCAAGCACTTCTGACAGATAAATTTGCACCTACAACGAATTATCAAAGTAAATAAATAAATAAAGATTTACATATCATGTTAATACGCTAAGAATCTTGTTTAAAGTTAGTAATACCAAAAATCAATAATGTATCACCAAGTTCCTTTAGTTACTGCACCATCTAAATGTCATATTTCAGAAGTTTTGGTAATTGGCGTTTAATTGGATGGAGAAATAACACTATTTCGCCAAATTTCTGTACCTATTTCAACATCCACAGAATTTTTTCATAAATGCATCACCAACAACCAATAGGAACAGTTTAATAACTAGATCATCACCTTAACTTATTCTATCCTTAAAATGTAACAAGATGTAAATCCTTACCATTTCATTCTGGAGATTTCCAGAGATACTATTTTCGTTCATTGCAAGCATAAGTTCCAAATATGTAGTCTGCATATTTGGAGCATGTTGTTTCAGATAAGAATTGACCAAATCAGCTGGAACGTTTCCGGACAAGAAGAGGTCAATAGTTTGTGTTGGGCAGGTCTCGAGAACAAGCATTGAAAACTCCAGGACAAGCATAGGATCAGTGCCACAGAGGGGCTGAGAAAGACAAAAATATTTAGACAAAGTTAGTATAAGCCTACAGCAATATAAAGTGGAGACCGCTGCAGTAGAACCATGTTGCTTAACAGTGCAACATCTGCAGTAGCATGCAGGGTCTCAATTTTTGAACTTCTCAAGCAAGACTCCTTATGTTAATAGAACTTCCAAAAACAAAAGGACGATCCTATTAGCTCCATATAAAAGGGGAAGTGCGCATAGTTTGAATCTCGTATTTTTCTGAATCAAGTAAATTTCTAGCGTCAAATATCGCTGGCATGCAAGGGTAGTGGTCAACTGGTCATTTAATTTCAAAGAACATTTTTATGAATCTCAGGACGATTCCATAAATCATCCATTTGAAGTAACAGTTAGAAACAGATAATTAATACACTTCCGAGAATATACATGATAACAAGCTAACAAAGGTCCATCATCTATATACTGCACTACCTTGTTACAACACTATCAAATTGGTGGCTGTAACAATAATGTTGGTCAACAGAGCACTAAAGTTTCAAATGCATTATATCATAATATTTGGAAGGCCCACCAGATGAAGAACAAATTAACAGATTAAGGTGTTTATAAAGAACCAGCATATAATGTAAAGATTGTACCGAGAATAAGCTAAAACAAGATTGAGATAAAACGTAAAATAATATGCTGGTGTCCACTTATTTGGTAATGAATTTTCAGAAGTTGGTAATTTTAATCGCAAAAGTTAAAAGCAAAGTTATCCAGACAAATAAAGATTTTATTCAGGTGTCCACTTATTAGGTAATGAATCTTCAGAAGTTGTTAATTTTAATCGGAAATGTTAAAAGCAAAGTTATCCAGACAAATAAAGATTTTATTTTTATTTAAACGCTTTGTTTACATGTTCAGAAATAGATTTATAAAACCATAAATAGAGTCTTGATGAAAAGGAGAGTTACTTTGAGATAATCAATAATCATTTCAGGCTTGAACTTCCGCATGAGCTCAGCTGGTGGATTACTTGAGTTTGACTCTTCAATTAACTTGTGTAGAAGCTCGAGTGCTTCACGGTGCATCGCATTACATTTATAAAGTTCCAGTAGACAAACATACTGATTTCTTTCCTGCAAAAACTCCTCGCATATTCTTATGTCACAATAATTAAGACCTTTCAGTAGTTCCAGAGCAGCAGAAGATTGTCCTGTCAATAGAAGAGCCTGAAGTAATGCCGTGTCAAGTATAGCTGCAGTGTCTCTAGCAACTGAGCTGATATACGTGTTGGTTCGACCCTATGAGATCCAAAAAAACCACAATCAGATGACCATCAAAACAATTGCTGTATCAAATGCTGAAAACAGAAATTAAATGGCTACCTGATACAGAATCTATAAGAATCAGTGAAAAAATTATTAAATTGGAGTACTTATTACCCATTTGCTTTCATTTAGAACTCTGATGCACGGGACATATAAGGAGCTATAAGCAGAATAGATTGCTGGCACACATATTCCGAATAAAGACACATTTCAGAGCCAACATGTAATGCGCATCTTTAATTACAAACAGCCGAACACTTGTTCATGGGTGAAGAATTATAACAAACAAGATACTGTAGTACCTTAAGAAAAGCTAATTTGTGCAAGAAAAACAAATTCCATGCACAAACCTTGAACAGCTGCTTTTCCCGAGGTCATGATCCAAATTTACTAAAGTAAATTTCAGTTAAAACCCATACCAAATTCACCTTACCACAGCTCTGAAACCATTGAACTCGGTGAAGACCGAAGATACCTAGAAGTGCCTCATAGATAACTAATTTGTTTATTGTCTCAAAAACAAAACCCTAACCTTGTTTTGTTTCTTTGGCCGACTGCTACCATACGAAACAAAATTATTTCCTACAGCATCTGAAACTGCCTCATCAGTTCCCTCCGCAGCAGCCTTTTCAACAATACCAAATCGCTTCCTCTGAAGGAACTTAATGAGAGCCATCAGAGTGTTGTGGTTCATTTTCCTGGATTCAATATCCGCACTTTCTTCAGAATCCAATGCATGAGGAAGTGGAGATTCCATATCATCTGACATGCCAGAGGAACCTCTTGAGAGATCCAAAGCATCTCCACTGATATCCATATATTTCTCTGGTTCAGGTATAACAGATGATTTGGGAAGAATGATCGATGGATACAAAGAAAGAACGTAAGTGATCTCCACCTGAGATGCCAAAAAATGTTCCATGGCCTCCTCATAGCTCCCATTTTCAAATAAATAGTGAGCGTATCTGTACAAGGGAACGGCAAATTACTGGCATGTGTTAAATTAGCATACCTGTAAAATCCCTTCTAGCAAAGCAGTAACGTGCCAACATTGGCACTTTAATAAAACTAAGAAAATGTATGATCTGTTTTCCAAAGTTATAGAAGTGTATGTTTTATGCTCAAATCATATCTGGATATCCACATTTGATATGCTACAGCAGGGAAGAAAATTAGATCCGAACAAGGATACAAAAGTACCTAATATGAATTGATTGTTCTTTTGCAGCTCGAAGTTTTGAATCTTCAGGAGGGAGTAATTTGCACAAAGCCAATGCTTCCTCAAAATTGCCTGAAGCTGTTAGTTGTACAATCTGGATGACGAAAATATGGCATAGTCATTGCATTTTCAAAGGACACCAAATACCTGCTCCTAGGTCAATCATTCGTGTCAAATATTGCAGCTGTTTCAAGAAGTTATTCCATGCTAAACTGTAATTTTGCATATTACAAACGTATTTACCACCTTCATTTAGAAAAATCTGTAACAGGAAGTACTTCAACCTTACAATTTCCAGTAAGATCACATGAAAAGATTTTTTCGGCATATGATTCTATCTATTTATGTATTTCACCTTGACATTTGGATAATGTTAAATCTTATATTACTGCATATCGTAACTTTACAGACCATATCACTTCCACAATTAGCAACTATGTAAATAAGCATACAAAGTCTTGATTCAATCTAATGATATATTACAGAATAAATCTCGAGATCTAAGAATGACAAGATTATTAGCACAAGACTTATTTAAGTCCCTTACAAAACTGATCGATGTCCATTACGAACTTTTAATTATATGGATGGGACCAAGAATTTTAAAGAAGGAACTATACCTGTGCGCCAAGAGGAACAGGAAACAAGCCGTAAATAGAGTTTTCTAGAGCGACAATGATAACATGGGTGCTTTGAAGTATCCGACGAACATTGCGGAGAACAACTGTTTGAATCAGTGGATACGGGTCACGAAGAGAACGTATCTGCCGACCATAATATAATTAGTTTACAACAGTAAAAAATTCTAAAGCTATTTATTACAGGGAAAAGTTAGAAAGAGTAAATAGTCATTTCTGGTCAACACCTCAATGTGTCTTGGTAAGAGACCTATTGCATATGGCTTCTCTACAACAACTGTTGTAGGAGCCTCTGACCAGCAAATCCTGCCTTCTTGAAGAAGTTTCCCATTTTGATCAACAAACACACCAATATTGTCCTGAAGAAAATTGGAGCAAAAACAATTTGTCAGTTTCGAGGATCCACAAAGTTTTAGCAAGAAAAGTGACTATTCGTTTACCAAGGGTTTGAAGCATCTAGTTCAATTAGGCATTAGTTATTGACAGTTCTGTGACGTCGGTTATGTATCAGTTTTTAGTAAAAGCTAAGACGTTCAATATTTGTTATAAAACGTTCAATGACTTTTATCTTCTCCCGGGTTTTGCTAAAAAACAGTAAGAAAGGATAAGGTCTTCCCAGATTGGTGATTTCCTATGCACCTAAAAACTAAAACCAGATTATAACGAAAAAAATACGGGGCAAAAGGGTCATGAGCCTTCTTAAATTAAGCAAGATTTAGTTTTGAGTAACTTGTACATGCCAAGTGAGATTATTATGTAGCCAGAGCAAGAAAATAAATAAGTTACCTAAGTCAAGCTACACAAACATAGTGGATGACATACACTATGACAATATACGCACATGGCAGGATCGTGTGGGTTTACACCATCACACTATCTTTACAATCCCCAATCTCTACGCTTACACAACAATTATGTCAAAAGATTATCTTATAGTAGTTTCTAAATTACCTTCCCTAGAAGAAGCTCCCCTGATGGAAGAGACACAACCAAAGGCGGGGCGATCCTCCCCGATGGAAACACCTCTGACAATGCACCATTAGTTGAATTCAATATTACATACTCTCTTCGGATCCCCAAGCATATATTCTCACCACACCATGACATTGATTTAACAGTGTCTGGAACACCAAATTCTTTTACTTCCACAAACCCACGGCCCCCTAAACAAGCAGTAAACAGATTGTGATTCATAATTCCATACACTATTGAAAATCCCATATTTTAAATTCTCAGCAACAACTAACATTCAGTTGTAATATGACCTGGTGATCCAGGTCCCCCATCATATCCAATAATGAAGAAACAATACTTGTGTAGGAGTAGGACATAAGTGAATGAGTAATATCCATAATGCTGGGCAACTATAACCAACTCAGGAGGCATTACCAGAGGGAAAGGTATGACCAGAAATAGGATAAAATAAAAATAGGGGAAGCTCCGAGCAAGAAACAAATACTTCAACTCGATGAAAGGAAGAGCCATCATTCCTATAAATAAACCTTCTTTCAAATTAAAACCTAATCCAATCACATTTCCTGGTGTATTCATTCCGAATTCTTAACGACCTTTTGAGATTTTACGCGTCCCGACGTTCTAGAACTTTCAAAAATATTGATGTATTCATTTGAGATTTCAAAGAGTGAATAATGCTGTATACAATTTATTTATCATGCTGTCTCGTCTCTAGGCGGTCTTGGAGTGAGTTGTGCTAGGAACATGCTGCCCTTGAATTGTTTGGACTTTCTAAGACTTGCTGAGATTTAAAACACAATACATATTGGCAATCCCTCATCAATTCCTACTTGCAGACTTAAAATTTCTAAGGATTCCAACTAAATAAAAGTTTTTAAAAAGCCTCAAAGTCCCAAAAGTATACACCCTCCATTTTCAAATATACAAACACTTACCGTCGTGTCTGAAGATACAAACCCTCTTCTGCCGCGCGAAGCACAAAAACCCTCGCCTCTCGTCCCAGCAGTAAGCGTTCGCGCCCTTGGCTTTCGTAATCACGGCCAGCGTCTCCAAATTGGGCAGCCGGTGAAAGGCGATCGACTCGGAGAGCGAGAGTAGCAGCTCCCGCGAGTTGAGGACCTCCATGGCGAGCATCGGCCTTTTGGAGAAGCCATTAATCGTCCGCTCCAAAACGTACGTCTCCTTCTTCAGCTCCGGGGGTTTGGAATACAGTTCAGAGGGCGAGGGGGGAGATCGGGGATCGCCGGATGAGGACTCGGGGCCGTAGATTCGGAGGGAGCCATCGGAGCATGATATGAGAAGATTGGAGCCGTACGATTCAATGGCGTCGACTCTGGTGGAGGAATTACTGATGAGTTGAAAGGAATCGTAGGCGCTGTGCACCATTTTCGTTTTTCTTTTCGGTGTTTTGGCTTTAGAAGCCCGCAGATGAAATGTCGCAAGAAAAGGGAGGATGGGAAAGGCAATACGACGTCGTATTAGAAATTTGTTAATTTTGATGCGGTTAAAAGTGCCGACTTGGGGTAGAACGCCCGCTGTCCCGCGCTTTTTGTTGCAACTTACAACTTTGTAACGTAACACTTAGTAATCCACCGGCTATCTACGGTATGCACATGTTAGAATACATCTATACTTATATTAAAAGGAAACCTATTTACTAAACATAGTAGGTAGAAAAGTCAACTTCAATTAATGAACTTCTAATTTTATCATATAGTAATTAATGCATTTATAATTTTAATCAAGTTTCCTATTTTACATATTATTTTTAATCCTTCTTATCTTGACATAAATAAATCTCATAAAATGGGGTGAGCAAAAACAATAAAAATTCTGTCTCTAAAAACTACAAATCAATATTACGATCTTGAATAATGCACTAACAAATTATAATATATTTTTATAAAACTTATAAAAAACTATTAAAAAAACTTGGTTCGTATATTTGTATGGATATTTATAGTTTTTTAATATTATCTTTGTGTTAAAAAAACTATTTAACACTATTCTTTTTTATTATATAATAAAATAATAATTAAATATTATATGATGAACAAGAATAAATAAAACTGTTACTTTTTTTTATATCAAGGGATAAATTTATATACTGAAATTAAAGTTTTATTAGTATAAATATTTTAGTGAGATAATATATTAATTATTTTACAAGCTAGCCCTAACATACTCATTTTTAAGTTCTGGCTAAAAAACAATGTTGGTTAAAAGATATGAAAAAAAACTTATAATCTTATTATTTTTTAGACTTAACGTTGATCAAAAGAGGTAGAAAATAGATAATAACACTATTACTTTAAAGATTTAAACGGACAAAGCTGTTAAAATAACTCATTTACTATCTATGTTCCGTGTATCGCACGGGATACGTACTAGTTATTATCTACCGTATGCACATGTTAATATTTGTCAATGATTGTTCAAACACATTAGAAAAGATTTGAGTTAAAAAATGTATCTAACTAAATTTAATTTATTACATATCTTCGACACCTAGTTTTATACATATTTTAATGAAATTATGAATGCTCCATACAATAAAAATCATTACATTAGTTGCAACTTTAAAAATAAAATGAGACATTTTAATATTTTTTTATATAAGATGATATAAACAGTGGAAAAATAACCATTGTAATATTTAAATATTTTTTTCTAATATATTGTGTTAAAATATTAAAATAAATTATATTAAGACAAAAAAAATGATTTTAAGAAGTCCTATAATTATAATATATGTTGAACTTGAATAAAAATTATCAGAAGTTGATCATATGAATACAAAAGACTAATAATTTTAGAAAGCTAAATGAGTATTTATTTTTGTTAGTCTCAATTAATTCATGAATAAAACAATTATAAGATACTTAATAGTATCCAAAAGAAAATGTTAATAAAACATGCCGATTAGTACAATTCTGTAGAAAACTGTAATTGGGAATTGAAAATTAAAGGCCCAATTGCCGGTAGAATCATGACTTTACAATTTTTTGTCGTTTTAACCAAACTTTTGGAATTTAGCAAATATAACATAGCCTTGTCTATTTTTGGCAATTCGAATCACCGGGCCGAATTTCGGGCTTTTGGAATTTAACAAATATAACATAATCTTGTCCATTTTTGACAATTCGAATCACCGGGCCGAATTTCGGGCTTTGTCTGCAGAGGTGGCTGATAACATGGCGATTTATTTTGATGTGGCGATAATTCGAATCACCGGGCCGAATTTCGGGCTTTGTCTGCAGAGGTGGCTGATAACATGACAATTTATTTTGATGTGGCGATAAAAAATATAAGCGAAGATGAGGTTCGAACCTAGGACCTCAAGGTTGTATGATAACATTGCAACCACCAGACCAACCCAAGTTATTTATTAAATATAATAGCATTTAATATATATATATATATATA